ATTTTCCCATACATATGTGTGCTACATTTAGTGCAAAATGAAAATGAAAATTCAATTATAGAATTTACATTTGCCATTTTCTACACTAGTTTTAATATATAAATTAAAAACATATTTTAACGCTTTATAAGTTGAAATTGTATAAATTAAAATGAAATTGTATTACCCAAATTGATTAGATATGTTTAACATGTCCAAGCAAAAAACTGTAGCAAAATTATAATTTAAATGCCATTTTTCCTAAATGTATTTAGACTTACGGGTAGGACACTTGAGATTGCATTTTCATCGTGATACCGCGTGATAACTGTAGCAAAATGCGCTGTGAATTTCAAAATCCATTCTGAGCCAAATGTGCAGCAAAATGGTTGCAAAAATGGTGATTTAAATGTATTTTATTTTTCTTAAATGCTTTGACACTTACACTTAAGACGTTTCAATTGCATTTTCATTAAATACCCCGCCATAATGTAGTTTAAGTCAATGATGGATGGGCGTATCGATCCTGAAGTATCGATATATCGATACTGATGCGAGTATCGAAAGTATTGATACTCAAAGAAAAAATATAGATACTAAGGTATTTTAAATCATCATCATTAAAAAATTAATGCGTACAATATGCATTGAATTGGACGAATAACCTATGTTAGAGAATAATTGTGTAGGATAGAACTATTTTCCTGTTTCAATTACATTTATTTAAATTGAACGTTAAAATTTCATATTGATCATGTTCTATTCTGTAATGTTAGTATAAATCATAGCTGTCAGAATAAAAAGGTTGCCTTTTATGCGTGCAACAGCCTGTCACTGGCAGCCCCTTAGGAAAATTAACCATGGTTTTACTAAAGTGACCATAGTTCAACTATAGTATTTGTAGATTTCCATGGTTACCACTACAGTAAACATATTTTAACCATGTGTAAACAAAAATATAACCTAATAAATTGCAATTAAGGCATATTGAATGTTAAAATGTGTTTCAAATATAAAGTTTAGTGGATATCATTACCAATTTTACTCTTAGTAATTTAATTTAATACATTTCATAATTTAAAAGTTCAGTTTAGAAGTATCGTTTATTAAAAGTATCGGTATTGTATCGAAAACAAAATAAGTGGTATGGATACTTAAGTATCGATACTTTCGATACTGATGTTGTATCGAAAGGAACGATCCTCACATAAAAATATAGATTCTAAAGTGCATTTTTTAACCATTCATTTTATTTATCAAGAAATTCGATGCATAAAATAAGCTTCTACGTGGAAAAATAGACTATATTAGTGAATAATTGTGTTGGATAGAACCATTTCTCCTGCTCATCGGAACACACACACATGCTGAAAGACAGAACCAATCAATCACAGACAGCGTTCGCTGCTGACGCATGGCTCACATTGCTTGTTCAAATAGGGCTGCATTTCCCAAAAGCATCAGAAGCATAAGTAGATCTTAAGAAACCATTGCCACATTATTACATTACATTACATAACATTGTTACTATATATAACATTAATTCTGAAAAATGCATCACGGTTTCCACACAAATATGAAGCAGCAATAATAATAAATGTTTCTTGAGCAGCAAATGATATTAGAATTATTTCTGAAGGATCATGTGACACTGAAGACTGGAGTAATGATGCTGAAAATTCAGCTTTGATCAC